CTGCAGGTTGTCCACATACTGCGCCTCATCCCAATAGAGTGTAAGATTAGCAATCTCGGGACCAGCGTTTGTACCCATAGGAATACCAACATCTTGATGGCAAATAACGCCATCTGCTGTATATAGATATGTATTAGTAACAATAAAGCGAAGATGTTGAAGAATGTCAGACACAGAAAGACTGTCAGATCCTGTGTCGGTCGTCCATTCCCCTGCGCGCGGTCCACGGACCACCATACGAAGAGCAACACAGGATGGGTGTGTCCGTGTACGCTGCCGTGCCTGTGCTAGAGCATAGGCATGTGCCTCATCAACGGCCTTAGCAACATTGTCAAGAATCCGTTGATGAGAAAGATTAGTATACATGGTAGTGAAATCGACCGTATGAGGGGCCAGACCTCGGAGTGATGCTTTAGTCTTTTTGAGGTCAAGCATGACCTCCTCACTGCTCTGGACAATCCAACATCGTCGAATACCTTCGCATTGAAAGAGGTGATTATCTTTTTCGCGAAGAGTACGGATAGCGCCTTGAAGCGCTGCACTCAAGCGAGCTGATGTTGGAGTTGTACTAGCAACAGGCTTGTGGGGCGGTCAGTGATGCAAACGCTGGACTCGTTGGGAGGGGCGCAGGTCATTCCGCTGGGCCATATGAGAGGAAGAAAGATTGTTGCGGGCAGTAATCCCAAGAATAGTACGGAGTGTAGGAGGAGACTTATGGGCCTTAAGAGCGCAGTAGAGATACGGCAATGTGTCAGCATGAGGATAATTCCAATGATTGTTCCAAAGTGCCAAAGTGCGTGGCTATTCAGAATGTCGGCTGCTGTTTCAGTGGGCCGAGAATATGTAGGACTGTCAAGATGAGCAGAAAGGTGGAAACGCTACCAGTCCTTACAACAAATAGCCAAATTATGTGAAGTTTTGTCCACAGGAACAATCGCAAAGGAGTCTTGGAGGTGATGCAGAGCCGCATGTGCCTGTCGAAGAGAGCGAGGCTGTCGAGAAGATGTTGCGGCAGCCATATTGGACTGACAATGACGCAAAACTGCGGTACGCCAAAGATCCAGTTGACGAGCCAGGGCAGCAGCGGAGGATTGTCGTGATGTCGGCCGAAGATATGCCGCAATATACTCGTCACTTATTGTCGTTAGGCGCAGCGGGTTCTTGGTCCGAAGTTGCTGCTTCAATTCAGCGGGCTACACCCGCTTGGCGTGCTCGCTTACTGCAATGGCTGTATACAAATGTTTCTAATGCTGATATGACTGCCGACATCCATGAACTTGAATGCCTTATTTGGCGATTTCAACATGTCCGACAGCGATATACAGCCCAATCCCATGACAGCTTTGGAAACTATATTAGGATTGTGCATATGCATGAGATTCTCAAGACTGCTAAGCTGCGCCATGTGTTGCATTCTAACGATGTGTGTGCACTGCATCCGGACCCTCAGGCAGCCAGCACTATTCGCATCTGAGACAAACTTGTGCCCCCAACAAGGGTGCAATTTTGTAATTTTACGGAGGTTGCCTTGAGTGTTACTCCGGGCCTGCGACTTCCTGCTGCTGCTGATTGTCCTTGTCGCCGGGCTTTTCCTAACTGCACTGATCTAGTTGACGGCCATGTTGTTTCCGCCAACTATGATCTGATTCCGGATGCTAATCTTCGGCATCTATTCTATGAGGGCTCGAAATGGGACAGTGGGGAATGTACTTGAAGCACTTAACACCTATATTAAAATATATTTCTATTACATATTGTATAGTATGATAAGATGCATACTATGACCGAGAAAAAAATGACAACTCTGGGTCTGTGCATGTTTTTTTTAATGTGTTTTGCGTTTTTGTTTGGGTTTCCCACTTAAGCTCCAGTCTCCCACTTCGTGGCCGCAAGTCCATTAGTATGTGTTCGCTGAGCCTTATGGCGACACGATAACAACCATAAGACAAATAGAATTCAATTTGACTGAATTGATGATTCACTCACTGATCTATTCAAGTCCCATCGTCTCCAATTCCCCCATGCGCCCACGTAGCTCAGGTGGTAGAGCATTCCCTTGGTAAGGGAAAGGCCTTCGTTCAAGTCCGGTCGTAGGCTCCGTCTTAAATTAAAAAAGAACTGTTTCGTCGGAGTTTCACCGACTCATGAGGAGGCTGAACCCTCAACAGTCTGCAGAACCCCTAACTCATTACCCTGTAAGTGATAATCCACCTTAACTCCGGTTGTGGTTACGCATCAATGACTGCCCGACAATTGATACCCTGAGGAGGGCACCAACCACTGCCCTCAAGGTACCTGCGACGAAAATCGAAGCAGACTATCACTCACCCACACCAGATGGAAAACTCTACAGATTGTCGGTTC